AATTACTGAGTGCACTAAATGTGTGTGGCTAGTCCAAACTGAAATGATCACTACCTGTAAAACATCCACAGGATTTCAAAGATTTACTATGAAAGAAAATGTAAACATATCCCAATCTTGGTATCAGCTGTATAATAACCTAGTATTCTGGTTATCTTGTACTAAGCATATTAAGATTAACTTCATTTGTGGCATCAGGAAAACAAAAGTATGCAGCTCACATTATATTCCTACTGACAATGTTGATTGAGACGGTATTTAATTTTGCTGTTGCTAAACTTTCAAATAAACTCATCTACTACTCATGTGCCAAGAACATGAATATACCTACACTGAATAAAACAGTGGAATGCATTTTTCACAAGAGTGATCACGTCTGGCTAACATAGTATTAAAAATGTCACAATGAACAAACTTCTTGGGAAGAAAGAACCGGAAGGCGATATAAATATTTTAATCTCAAAATAAAAATATCTCAACGCCTAGGTTCTACTCCCCAATCTTCTACAAAAACTATCAATCCAGTAATAGAATCTGGCATTGTTTAAAAACAAAATTCTCCAGTGTCTGTGATTTGAATACACCTATAAACCCTACTTTTGCTGACCACTTGCTATCTGGGGGTAGTGATTTATATAAGCTATCTCTAATCTTTGACAGTAGAGACCAGTTTCCTGGAAAACAATTTTTCCATGGATGGGTTTTTTTCTTTCCTTTTACTAGAATATGTTGAGAACACATAATAATTATATACCCCAGCCCTAGTATCACTATCTCAGCTCCACCTCAGATCATCAAGCATTAGATTCTCCTAAGTACATACCCAAAATTCCTCCAGGCAAAATTCCCAGTAGGGTTTGCACTTCTATGAAAATCTTCTAATTCTGCTAGTGATTGAACCTACAGTTGTAGATGGAGCACAAGCAGAAAAGTGACAGGTGGGGAGCTGCTGCTATTAATATAGGAAAGGATGTATGTGCAAGAACTTAAATATAATTTTAAACAAAACCGTATAAGGCAATCAAAAGTATGGCAGATTAATGGTGTTCAGAGTTTTAGATATGACTGCCTGGCACACAAAATCATCTTTAAATTCCATTGCTGACTTTAGATGATATAATACTTGTTGTCAAGTTTTGTGATCATTTTAATAGGCTAGAGAATATGGCATAAAATATAGTATTTACTAATTTTAATAAATTACAGAATAGCAAAATACTATTTTTTGACAGGAATACATCACAGCCAGTTTCTCTTCAATAATCTTCAAATAATTGGTAAACTTTATTCCAGAACTATATAAATATAAAATTTACACCTCAGTTGTTCAGGCACTAAATTATAAATATGTAAGGAGAGTTAAACCTTCCTAAGAATCTAAAATCCAGGGCTGAAGAGATAGCTCAGTAGAATAAGTGCTTGCCTGGGAAGCACAAGGTCCTGAGTTCAAACCCCGGTACTGAAAGGGGGTGGGGACTATCTAAAATCCAAAATACTCTAAAATTAAAATCATTTTCATCAACAAAATGATACCATAATTAGAAAATTTCATAAATGACATACTATGAAACCTTGCTTCATCCACAAAACTACTTAAAGGTCATATAAAATTACCTTCAGGCTATGTATGTAAAGATGTGACACAAATGTACTTCATGTTTAGACAAGAGTCATATCAAAGATCTACCATTATGTATGTTAAATATAACAACACACAAAACACTTCTAGTCCCAAGCATTTCAGATAAGGAATACTCAACTTGTTTGGAGTAATCAAGGTAAATCAGGAAATACATGTACAAACATGTAACTGGCCAACCTTTCCAATTCCTATTTCTGATACTGCAGCTAATTGCAAGAAAGAGTTAATCGTTTCTGCTTGCTTCTAAATTTGATTCATTTCCCAGGAATATATGTTTAGGATTTGGAAAAACTCATCATATTGGCAACATACACTCTTAGCCCCAACCTGATGTTACCGGTAGAATCAAAATAGAAGCTAAATATGACTACTCTTTCTACTCCACCTTTTCAATGTAACTACTAATAAATACTCCATCAAGTGACCTTATGGAACAGCCAAATCTTAACACACATTTAACACCACTGAGGAAAGATTCAACTATTTTCCATACAAATATATGGATAATAATATGGTTACATTCTTATGTTTTGAAAACTGGCCTTTTTATCTCAGGCAAACAACAAATATTAAGGACTACATACTCAGTACAAATACAGTAAGTCAATTAACTTTTAAAAACTCAATTATTCCAGATACTAGAGTAGAATTTAAGAATTGTCAATACCAGGTTAAATGCTATAAGCTGTTAAAACATAATAAATACTAACATCTGACTGTTACTGCATTCCATACACACTAATCATTTACTCAATTATTTCATTTAATCCATAAAACTATCATATTAGGAGATAATATAAACCTGCCAATGGTTTAAATCTGTAAGTGGTAGTCTATTTGTACAAACTGCCCTTTTAGTAACTAAAGCATGCATAAACCAGAAAAGAAAGAGAAGTTATAGAATTATACCATTATCATATGTCTAACCTCAACACTCTGACTCAATCTTTTAAAAATGATTTTTAGGACTTGGGAATGTAGCTCTGTGGTAGATCACTTGCCTATTATACCCAAGATCCAGTGAGACACACACACAGAGGAATTCCTTTCCTTATATATCTGCCTTTATACCTAATAAGTTACGTATAACTCACAGTACCACATGTACATCTCCATCATGAATAACAAACTGACCAAAAATCACCTTTTTCCTTTATTTCTACAAAAACACTGTTAAGAACCTTGAAGTCAGGACTTTCATTGTGTGTTTTGCTTCCAAGTAACTATCAAGTAAATAAAAAATACTTCTAAAGGTCCTCTAGCATATCTTTTTTTTTTTTCTATCATGTTCTAAACAATCATCTTAAGAAAGCTTGTTAAAAATGTGAAGTTGTAGCTCCCAGAATCAAAGTGGGACCTTAAAAAGATGTATCTATCTTCTCATTCATCAATACCACATCTCTGTATATATTCTTCTCAAGAAAAATATAAGGAAAAATGAAATAATTCTGATAATGAACTGATTAAGGTTATCACAAAGAAATGTGGATTTCAGAACTAAATGAAATTTGTCAACTCAGAAGCTGTTATAAACCTATTCCTCTCTATCTTTGTACCTAGGAATCACCTAGGTTTAAAAAAATAAGTGACAATTTGTCAACTTGTAAAATTCTCACTTTAAGAAGTGAGTTTTTAAATAGGATAATATATACCTCCCCAAACAAACAGTAGATTTGACAAATTTGCTATGGATTTCAGAGTATGAAATCTATCAGTTACAAGAGATAATTTTAACAAATTGGTAAGAAAAAGTTCACTACAGTAAAGACAACAGCATATTAGCAACACACACACACACACACACACACACACACAAACTAAATAAAACAAAACATTCTCATTAACAAAGCATCTTACCAAATGTAAAATTCTTTAACTCTAAAACTGGATCTACTTAAATTTAGGTACATGCCAAACCTTGTAAGTAGTACCATGACTGTTCATACTAATGTTAGTAGTTAGATCAACAAGTTGTTAGATCAACACAAAGCCTATATGAAGAAAATTACTTCCAGGCTTAATAAGGTCCCTAAGTCACAACAACTGGGTCCTATACACTACTGAATTCTAAAGTAGAGGTTACTGAAGAAAAAAAAAAAATTGCCATGTAAGAGTTCACAAATTAGGGATAACACTATAAGCCAAAAAAGGAAGCCCTTTAAGTGAGCAGTGTATAGTTAACTCCAATCTCTTGTCTATGTCTACAACTCTAAGAGTGATTCTTGAAGATTTCCATTTACACTCCTCTAAATCTGTTTGTATGTACACACTGCTTAAATTTTGATGCTCTATAAAAAACTATCAAGCTCTTCTAATAGTGAATTATTGAAGAGATTTTTAAAAAACAAAACTCTTCACCCAAGTGAAAAACCAGTGTTCCCTCAAAAAGTAATCAACCTCATTTGCACTACTTTGAAATTATTAGACAAAGTCTGCCTCCTGTGTCATCTGTTCACATTACTCTGTCTTCCACAGAGCTTTGCCTAACTGGACAGATGTACTGGTTGGGAGGCACAAATATTCTTTCAGTCCTTAACACAAACTAAGTCAGGAAAGTAAACTGCTCATCCTCCTTTCAACTATTCAATCTCAATTGTAAGCACCACTTAATGGAACGTAGGAGAAGCACACAAATTCAATTTAAAGGAATAATAGCATTAAAAACTGTTTTGGAAGCAAATACCTGGGGAGTGGCTATACAGAAAATCATTAGATAGCATGTCATCTATCACACTACCTCTGTGTAAATCAGAAACGTTCATTTAATATAGGACAAAATCTGATGCTTTGCACACCAGTAAAATGGGAGTGAATTCTCAGCCTAAAGAGAGTACTCGATCATTGACTGCCTCCTTTATAACCAACTACCTTGACTCCTCTATCCGCATTATCCTTTCTTCAAAAATTACACTACTCTTTGTAGTATGATTTCACGATACGCTGAGAACAGGTCTTTGAGGAAGTGTATGTTTTACCTCTCCACCTTCTCCACCAAGTAAGCAAGACCTCTTGAATGAGTAACAATATTCCGGTATTACTCAAAGACATTCAGAGCTAATCTCCAAAGAATGGTCGTCTCATTTTTTTCAAATCATTGTTATCTATTCATTACCACATACCACTATTTTACTGGCATCAAAAGCAGATATTTTTACATGATCACTAAAAGCAGGCCCCCAGTCTCAGGTATTTGTATACAAAACGTAGAGAGTTACTCGCAAATGTGACTGGAAAACTGTACCACAACAAGAGGTCAGTGAGAAAGACACAGGAAGAGAAGAGGTGGGAGTTCATTTGATGAGGAACAATCCATACACTCAGGTACTGATCCTAGAACAAATAGGATTTGCTTAAATACCCAGGGACTGCGGGGGAGACGTCCCACAACTAGCAGGCAGCAGCGACGGGTGCTCCATCCAAAAAGAAGAGAGGCCACTAGGGCAGAACGGGTCCGGAGGACCCAGGAAAACTGAAGGGGATGCTGCAGCAGGGTGGGTTAAGATGGTGCCTTCAATCGGAGGAAGGCCACGAGGGCTGGACTCGAAGGTTTCAGCGTTGGGCTCTGGTCTTAGGGTTTCCGGGATCAAGGTTCAAGTTTCAGCGGGAAGGGGTGAAAAAAAGAGGCGGCAGGCGTGCAGCCGGCACCTTCACCCAGCCCAGAAGTCCGCGTCCTCAGCGAGGGAGCTGGGAAGTAACGGTCCCCGGCACACGCGCAGCTCCGCACTCGACACCAAGGCACCGGCGCCGACCCCGGCCCTCGGCGAGGAGCCCGGCCCAGCCCTTCCCCGGCCTCGCCCCGGGCGCGGCCAAAAGTTTCCAGCCAAAGTCCGCCGCACCGCTCGCTCCGCCAACCGCCCCGCGGCAGCAGGCAGCACCGCCGGCCCGGCCCGGCC